GAAGTGGATGATCTCTAAAGATCAATCTTCTGAAAAGAATGATCACAAAGGGATAGAGACAGACAACACCTGAGGGAAACAGCAAGTTAAGACAGCATTTTAAAAGCACATTAAATGTTGAAGAGAGAGGAATGAGGAGAAAGTCAGTAAGGTGAGGTCTCTCCAGAGGCACAAGTGACAAGGACCCAGAGCAGTGCAGGAGGGATGGTGAGGGACACTGCTTTTTATTTGTTTAGAAGAAAGAAGAAACAGTAGAGAGAGCAAAGGCAGGAAGTCTAGGAATTGACAGCATGACCCATTCTCTGTGAGTCATCTTCTGAGACTGGGGGGTGAGAGGGTGACAACCGAGGTGTGAAAAGAGAGAAGAAGCTTTGAGAAAGCCACAGCAGAGAGTGAAGACACAGCTGATTAGGGATGTACAGAAGGATTGGGCTGCATTGAGAGGGTCAAGTTGAGTTTGGAGGCCTTGAATTTATGCACTGCTCATGGAGGTTTTATGATTCTCTCCTGAGATGCTGAGCAGCTACAAGTATGGAGAAACTCACAGTTGGATATATCAGGGTTGAGTCTTTGTGGGTAGGTCTAACCAAGGGTCTCATCCATGGGAGCTGAGGATCTTGATACAATATTTAAACCACAAGGATTCCCATAGAGGCAGCATTGCTCTAGGTCTGTGGTTCTTGATCTTGATGTACACTGGAATCACTGGGGGAACTTTAAAAATATACCGATGTCTGCAACTCATTCTCAGGAATTCTGATTTTCTTGGTTTGGGCTGTGGCCTAGCTTTGGGATTTTTATAAATTCTCCAGGCAATTCTAATGTGCAGTCAGGATAGAGAATTATTGTTCCCTTAATCAGCTGTTCCTCAAGCAAGTTAATAACCTGTATCAGCCAAGACAGACTAGACTAGGTTATGGTACAATAACAAAGAGTGTTGGAATGTCAGTGTCTTAACACGGCAAAAATTTATTTCCTGCTTAAATAATGTCTACTGCAGGTGTAGGTAATGCTTCTGGGCAGCTGTTCTCCTTGTTTTTCTTGGCATTCCATAGGAATTCCATAGGAATATGGGAAACTGAGTCTTGGTTCTCCTGTGCTTACCCAGAAATGACATTCATTACCTCCATTTGTATTTTATTGATTAGTACTAGCTGCACAGCTACACTCATTTCAAGGAGGAAGAAAAGTCAAGTGGATATTGGTGAATATTTGTAGCTATCACTGTAAATGAAAAGTAGTAGGGGAGGAAAAGGCTTATGGGTTTACTTTCACTTACATGTGCTTATTACGTGTCAGTTATTATTCTAATTGCTTTCAAATAGGAACTTATTTAATCCTCACAACAGCGATATCAAATAGGTAACTTGTATCCCCTTTTCACAGAAGGGGAAATTGAGGTTAAATAACTTGCCCTCGGTCATATGCCTAGTAAGTGGCAGAGGCAAGATTAAATTCCAGGCACTCTGAGTCCAGAGTCCAAGCACTGAACCTCTACACTACATTGCCTCTGTAGTCTGCTTTCTCTCAGCTTAGATCCTGTGTGTGGGGAGAGTAAAGGGGGCAAAAATGGGAGCTATAAGTCTAAGAGGGAGGCTTTGCGCATAGAAAGGAATCAGGTAATGTTTGCACATTGCATGCTAGAGCTGAGATAGCGCTTTGAGGGAAGTCACAGAGTAAGGCTTAGGGAGGAGGAAATGGAATGGACTGATGCGCTGCTAATGAGACCAACCGTGGAGGCCAGTATGGAGGGTGACTTCTGGCTCCTTCTTTTGTCCTTCCTTTCCATTCCTCTATGAGAGTCACCCATTCAGCCTTTGCAATTGCATGTGGAACTATACTGGGGTTAGCACATAAATAGAAAGCAGGTATGGGGAGAAAAATCATTCCCCGCGAGAGAGTAGTGGTTGGGCCATTTGCACATAAGGGATCAAATATTAAGTCAAACCAGATCTATTTTCAATGCATTTCTGAAATTTACATATACTAGTATTATAATTACAGCTATTGTCAAATAAACTATATTTTAAAATCTTCAAACGAGGGATGTTTGATAAAAGACTCTTTCAAGGAACCAGTAGTAGTTACAAACCATCACTTCCTAATATATAAATTTTCTAAGCCTTCCTTTTTATATTGGTTTCTGTTAAACTGGAACACATCTGCAGTTCGGCTAGCTTTCATTCTGCTGGGACTTTGGAGTCAGTGAACACTTCTGGGGATTGGAACTCTTGCTCCTCACAGACAAGGCCTTTGTAATTACAACACCTCAAGGGACAGAAGAAAAGGGTAAATGGTTCTGCTTTAAAAGGGAATTTTTGCAATAAAACAAACAAAAAGAAGCCCTTTGTGTGACACTGAAACTTAAATTCCTGTTTTCCTCACCTGTTAAATCCTGTGATTTGATTACAACATATGGACCCTGTTTACAAAACACTTTTAAAATGCTGTATTGGCACCTTGCTGCAATCTGCCAGCACATTCCTTAGGGCCAGTCCGTCCATACGGTGCTGCTGATCTATTTTCCTTGACTCTATTTTGATTGGAAGCTCTTGCGAATTGTTGCCAGGGGTTTCTCTTCTCTCTCTCACTGCAGAATCAGTGACGGCAATAGAGACTGCTGGATGTTGCTGGTTGTTACCACACTAACCCCAAATCAGGTTATTTTCTACTATTTACAAGCAGCGTTGTCTAGGGTTAGAAGACCTGATTCTAGCCTTAATGCAGAGTGCTCTAAAGCACTGTGTCATATTGGACAAGGCATTTCATCTCTCTGTGTCTCTGTTTCTTCATCTAGAGAATGAAAATTTAAACTAGAAGATTAAGAAAAATGTGTAACCTAATGACTTGACACTTTATAACTACCCATTTTTTATAGTCATTAAAATAATGCAAACGTTATAATGCTATACAGTTATTAAGAACAAAGAAGAGAAGATAAATGTCATTTTAATTAAATCTGCAGATGGAAACAAATGAGGAAGTTCTATCAGCAATTGTGTGACTGTGTCTTCATGGAGTCCAAAAGAGTTTCCTCTTTGGGAAGTGTGAGCTAATACACCCACAGTGGAATGATTAGGAACAGGGATATTTATACTCGATGGGAAATGCTGGGATGCTGAGATTTTAAATCAATACCCAGAGGCAAAATATGGGCAGCTGATGATGTGCAAAAGAACATATAGGTTTGAAATAGTCTTTGTTAATGATGATGATGGAATTATCATGCTAGAAGTCTAGAATAGCAATCCGTGAATTATACATACATTTAAAAAAATAAGCCTGCCTCTTCACCACCCCGACCAATGAGTGTTGATTGGTCTCGGATCATTTGAACACAGGTTACAGAAGACTCATTAGAGGCAGGAAAATTCAATTGTGTGTTTAAGGCTGGGGTGATGGTGGCAGTTTCAGTTCCCCTCCGATTGACACACACTACCAATTGGGGGGGGGGGCTACTGTAACCTGGCCATATCCCTGATTCGCTGTGGCAAGCTCACTACACACCTGAATCTCTTGTTATTTAAATAAAGACACTCCAATGTATTTAAGAGGTATTTTAACTGTAGGGGTTAACTGCTGACATTAACAGCAATGTTTCCGATGGTGTTCTTCTTCGGAGTGTCTTGATTTTTTTTTTTTTAATTTTTTTTGTAGAAAGAATTTTTGCAGAACAAACCACTCTTTGCCTCGTGACAACCTTCTGGGTCTGCTCAGCCGCCCAGGCTCTGGGCGAGTGGGTGGAAATTTTAGAGAGGAGAAGTAAAGAATGACCCCGAAATAAAGCCTGGATCCTAGTTGTGCATTTAACTGTTTCTCGGCCACGGGCAACGGCCCTTATCCGAGTGCTGTGGAGTGAGAGAAATCCTACTTCGAGTTCGGTGATTGGTAATCTAGGAGATTGGGAACAAAGTCAGACACCTGCCTAGAGGGCGGGCATGAGAAGATGTTTACTCTGGCCAAATCTTGGAGATCTCCCCTGCTTCTGACAATCTGGATCATTTCTAACGCAATTACCTCGCCTCCAGCATATTCTGACCCAGCAAAAAGGGACGCACCCAGCCAACTGTCTTTCGCCTTCACCAATGAAGACGTCGTCCCGCCACCGACCACTGACCCTGCCTCAGCGCATTTTTTGTGCCCTATTCCTTGCCCCTGTGTATACAGTCGTCCTTCCTGGACAGGCCCAGGTGGACCCCCCCCGAAACTTTATATCTGTGCTTCTCAAAGTTAAGGATCATATTTACCTGGAGGGCCTGTTAAAACAGATGGTTAGACCACATCCCCAGAGTTCCTGGTTCACTAGCTCTGGGGTAGAGCCCAATAATTCGCATTTTTAACAAGTGCTTAGGTGATGCTGATGCAGCCAGTCCCGGCCACTTTGAGAACCACTGCCTTAGATACAAGAAGGTGCCGCGGCGTGGCGTGTGGGCTCCCCTTTTCTTTCCATTTCTCTCCTCTTTTGTGGCACTTATGTCATTTTCCCTTCTCCGTGACAGATTGCGGCTTTGGGGCTGTTGCTAGCGATCCCGCACCTGTCCCTCGTTCGGAACGCACAGCGGGGCTGTCAGAGCGGCTCCCGCCCCGCCCAGCCGCGCGCAGCTCCGCCCCACCGCCTTCGCCGTTTCCCCACCGCACTCTCCCGGCGTGAATTATTCACTTTCTTCCTCTACTCTTCGCGTCAAGTGCAACCTTTCCCGCAACTTTGCGGCGGTGGCCGGGCTCTCTGCTCGCCTCCCGCGCCCCGCAGCCCTCGGGGAAGCTCCCCTGTGCGGCCGCACGCGCCCCCGCGTGCCAAGCCAGCCAGGGTCGCAGGGGCCATTCCGGGCGCCCCCTGCGCCCCGACTCTATCTGGCTCCGCGTGTGGGGCAGGGCGGGCACCGAAACCGCCAGTGTGCAGGCTTCAGGCGCCCAAGCCCGGAGGGGGGCGGTCGCAGCGTCAGGTGGCTGCTCTGCGTCCTCGCGCGCCGCCCAGTCAGTCAGTCCCTACTCGGCTCTCAGCCGCGGCCGGAGCAGGAGCCGCGTCCGCGCGAGCCACCCGTGCGCGGGTCGCGGGCGGGAGAAGCTGAGACGTGAGCCCTCCGACTGCCCACTTACCCTCTCTGGCACCCAGTCCATGGCCCGGATTGGACAGCGAGCGCCGGCCGCGATCTCCGGGGAGAGAGGAGCGGCCGCCGCGCGCACAGCCCCGCAGAAGTTGGGCTGCGCTGGGCAGCTGTGAGCCAGCTGCGCGAGAGGGCGGGCGCGGAGACCCGCAGCGGACGGCGCAGGGAAGTGTCTCCGTCTGAGCCAAAGCGGACTGGGAGAGAGGGGGCTGCAGTTCGCTCTCCCGCTGCCTCGGGCCCGGGGCGCGGGGCAGGGGAGAAATGCTGAGCCCGCGCCCCAGCCACCGCCGCCGCGGTAGCAGCCTCAGCAGCAGCCTCGGCATCTGCACCGGCGGGACAGCGACAGCGGGGGCGGCGCAGGCGCACTGTGCCCCGCGGAGCCTGCAGTTCCCGAGCCCCGTGTGCTGCACAGCCACAGTCTGGGCAGCGGCGGCCGGGGGAGCGCTACTACCATGAACTGCCTGGTCCTCCTCCCCAGAGCTGCTCATCCGGGTCGGGCTGGAGACACAGTCAGGGGACCCCGCCGCCGCCGCCGCGCCCCCTCTTCTTTCGGCTCAGTCTTCTCCTCCACCTTTTCCTCCTCTTCCTCCACCTTCTCTTCCTGCATCCCCCCCTCCCCCGCCGCGGATCCTGGCCGCCGCTCTCTAGACCCAGGATGCCGGGGGGCAAGAGAGGGCTGGTGGCACCGCAGAACACATTTTTGGAGAACATCGTCAGGCGCTCCAGTGGTAAGGAGAGTTGCAGTTCAGAACACCCCCACCTCCATCCCGCCCACGCGCGCCCCCATCCTCCCCATCCCATCCCTCTCCCAAAGGCGGGGGGAGGGGGATGCAAGCAGTCTTACCTGGTGGCTTCAGTTACCACTTGGACCTGGTTTGGGGTGGGGGGGTGGGAATGAGGGGGTGGAGGAAAGTTAGTTGCATCCCCTTCCTAGGAGACATACTCACCCCTCCCACCTGTCCAGAGCCAGAACGGGAGGAAGGAAAAGGGATGGGGAGGGTGTAGGTACATCCTGAGAATAGAGTTGAGTTTCGCTTTGATGAGGGATATCTTTCTTGTCCATCCTTCTCCCTCATTTTTTTTTTTTCCCCAAATAGGCTTCACGGACTGCCCAGATTCTTAGAGTTAATCTCAGTGGGTTTCCCTCAAGTTGGGAATGGCTGAGAAAGTGGCCACTTGAAAAGATTTAAGTCTCTGGAAAGGCTTTTGGCCCTAATGGGCCCCGTGGAAAAGTGCCTTGTGCTGGGGAGAGTAGTTGGAATTGAACCTAAAAAAGAGTACTTGAAAAATGGCAAAGCAATTATTATGGTCAAATTTGAGTTTAAAGTTTCTTTTTTTTTTAATGTTTTCAGTGTGCATTGATCTGTGTGATATATTTCATTTGACTTAACCTCGACAGATGTAGAAATGAAGCAGTAGCTTCTGTGCTTTCAATGCAAGTGGAGAAAGAATTTTAAAAATGCCATTCTACCTTGCTACTTTTCTTGCCTTAAAGTGTCTTTAAAATACTATCCATTTATGCATTCATTTCCTACAAGATATTCTGGATGGGAATGCTATATAGTTCACATTTTAAGACCTCGTAAACTTTGCATTTTACTGAAAATCTTCTAGTTTTTAATTCTTTTATGTAATTTTAAACTTAATAGGCAAGATATGTTGAGTACCCTTTAAAGTTTTTCTTTCAGAGGCCTATTATTTTATTTTGAGATCTCTTTCTTGAAGAATTATGAGAAAGATATTTCTGCATATGGAGTACAGTAGAGCCCGGACAAAAACAATGGAAATACTCTATGCAGTTCCATAATGCATTGTTTATTCATCGATTTATTGAAACAGTATTTATTTGGGTGTCTTATACCGCAGACACTTTGTGGGCCCTTTCAATAACAAAAATGATTAAAACACTTCCCTTGTTCTTAAGAAGCTCCCTGCCTAGTGGGCAAGACAGAGACATTCAAAGGATAAATAAATACAATGATGCTTTCCCTGAGTTGGTAGATTAGATTATACTGATTCTTAAATTAAGATGTCCTCTAAAACTAGGCTTGCAAATATTTCCTCTGAAATGGGAGCTAAATGTATTTAAGTGTCTGAAAGTATTTTTCCTGAATCTATGACTTGGTGTTTAGTTTTAATTTGAGGTTTTTGGCTTTATTTTTTCCACTTTGGCCACTGATATTACACAAGTCTAAAGCAGCAGTGTTATATTTTGGTTCATCAAATAGCTAATAGGGTCTGGCTTAGTATTCTATTTAATATCTATAATATTTTTAGTTATTCCAGTGTGATTTCATATGTTTTCTTGATGTTTATGATAATAAGAATTCGTAATGGTAGGCAGTTTCTATATTTATACATTACCTTTTATTAATATTGTAATAGACTTAGAATACAAGGGGCTATTGCTGTTAAAACAAAGAGTTTGGGGAAATTTAAGGGTTATTGGAATCAGCTGTTTAAGGTATAGGATTCTTATTTCAGCTTTTTCATCCTCTTGGGTTATTTCAACTCCACGCAATTTGGTCTGGGAGAGGACTTTTCAGAGAAGGCCTTAAAAAAAAAAACTCGCATTTTCTCCTATGCTGTGCTTGGTGAAGAGAAACAATATGAGAATTCCTTGACTAAAGTTTACTAATTTGGCATCTTTGGTTGAAACTTCTTATACAGACTGTAACTATGAGCCAGTTTTTAGAATATTTTTAGATATTAAAAAATCTAAAATCTTTAGAAGATTTTAGATTTAGATACACTGTGAAACAAAGATTTACCTTATGTGGCTTGGACATGTCTGTTTCTGTTGCCTCCTTTGACATCTACCATCCAAATTAATGAATATTTAATCGTTTTTACACTGCATGTTCATAATTGTTTTATTAGTTTAATGTCTCTTCCTGTGGATAATACCAAGTGCAAATGAAAATTTATGTTTTGGCATTTTTAAATGCCACTTCTAATTGCCTATGGCCAACTTGGAATACCACTACTTAAAGCCCCCGAGCTTTGTTTTGAAATATGTTAGATATCGAAGTAAGTATATGCATATGTGTATGTAATAAAGACTGAAATGTTTCAGTAACTCTTTTGCAGGAAGAACCTCAGAAATTGAGAATTACAGTAATAAATTGGTCCACTCTTTCATGCAGGAGTATCCCACAATTGTCATTTCTATATGATTTGGCATAAAAATAGAAAAATTTATCCTGAGAAATTGTTAATTGAGACTAACAGAGAAAATTTCCTTCAGGATTCTCACAGATGGATCAGGTTTGTTCCATCGAAGATTTCATTAACTTAACAACACTGCAAGTGAAGTACTGGCAGACCTTTAGTAGGACAAGATAGAAAAGAATCCAGCACTCCCAATCTACTTAAGAACTGAAGGAACAGAGGCTGGGATTGTCTGTTTACCTCTACCCCAAGAAAATCTTCTCTTTCTAATGCAACATCATTTTCTTCTTATGAAAAGATTAGATCTTAAAGTAAGAGTCAGACAGAATATTAATAGCAATACTCATAGAGAGCTACACAGGTAAACACTTAGATGGTCAGGCATTTCCCATCTAAAAAGATGAATCCCTTACTTTGCCTCTTTTGAGATTTGGCTATAAAGTGTGTGTATATCCACACCACCAACACGGAGGAGGCGAACTCTCTTTCTCACACAAAGAGCAAAAGAGAGATGTAAAAAAAACGAAAACAACCATATCAAAACCCCAGAAACACAAACAGATACACACACATGTACACCACACACACAGACACACACACACATACTAGACATGAAAGGGAACAGGCACAAAGAGAAAACATGAGACATTTATTTGTCCATGGACATCGCTAATGAACTGAAATCTCAGCCAGTTACAAATCCATCAGAACATTTTTTTTCATGATGTGGAACAAAAGAGCAAGAAGTGTGGCATATTTGAGTAGAGCTTCTAAACCTGAAGATTTCCTAATAAAGTTCCAAACTTCTCAGGTGCAGTTTCCCAGAATAACAGTGCCACATTCTGTGCCCCAGAGTAGTGACTGTAGCCTATTTGCTGTTACTTTACACCTTGGATTTTTATTTTCTTTATGTAAGTGACTCAGTCTGTTATGGGAAAACATTGCAAGTTGTTACTGGTGATTCAAAGTCTATAAAATAAAATAATGAAGGCCATTGAGTAGGATGGATACCCACACATTTTATAGTTAAATCTCAAAAGAAGTAGGGAATTCCTCTTTTTAGTTTTAGGATAAAAGAGAAGAAGATCATTTTTAGACAAAAGGAATTACAGTAATTCTTAGCATGTGATTCTAATAAATATAGAAAGCACATTATTACTCCAAGATGTAAAGATCAACAGTATAAATGCAATAGAAATGTTTAGGTAAATTTTTGGCTGGTAGGATCAAAATAAGTTGTTAAGATGGGAAGGTTTTTGTAGTGTTATTACATCTGAGCTATGTCTCCTAGGAGACCCCTGCCCCAAGGGTTTACTGACTAGATTTGTGTTTAGAACATTATTAGGATGTGTTCCTTTATTTAAATTTCAATTACTTATGGAAGCTATTATCAATATAAATTGGACTGTAAGGAGCAGTAAACTTGTGGGTAGAGGTTAAGTACTTGAAAGAAAGCAACTGTTTTTAGGACTTTTAGGGGGAATTTTAAATTCTAAAGACAAAAAATTCAAAGACCTTCAATCTGATTCTGTCTTTGGGCAGCATGGTTTGTTTATATATTGTTTTCAATTCCTTAAGAAATAGAAGTGATTGGTTTGGGTGATAGTAAGCTAGGTTATTATTTTGAAAAAATTATAGCTACAAGTTAATGTCTTCTTAGAAATTATGATTTCATATTTTATGCACTATGAAAAATTGGAAGTGTGCTTTTAGTTTTGTGGAAATCTAGAAGTGTTTTTCTCTTTGGAGAAAAAAGGGATTCAGGAAAGAAGAAAACAGAGAAGGTAGTATTTTATAAACCACTTACCTTTCAAGAGGGATAAGTTCAAGATCCTCAATTTTCCATTTTGCTTCAGATAGCTAGGTCACAAGCACTTTCTTTACTCAGCCATCTCTTGTTGAAAAATCCAAAATTATTTTTGTGCTGTATCTGGTATTTGTAAAAATTGAGATCTTAAAAGAAACCTATAGGAGAGGAAATAGAGAACTAGTGATCTAAAAATGAAACAGAAAAGGAATAATAACTTTTAAATATGATCCCATTTCAAAGAAATAGTGGAAAACAAATGGCCTTTTTTTTTTGTTATTGTTATAAAGTTGTTGACATTTTTTTCTTGAAAGGTTTTATTTAACACCAAAGATGCTATTCAGGAAATATTGATAAAACCACATAGTGTTTTTGAAGCATTGGTTTACTCAGGTCTTAAAATATACCACTTTAATATTTAAAATATAGAAGAGATTGAAATCATACCACTTCCTAAGTGATATTTATAAATAAGCCACAGGATTGTCTCTTGCTTTAGAGTCTACAGTGCCTCATATAACAAACCCAGCACATTGCTGACTAGAGGGCTGCTCATTCACTAGTTCTCTATTTCCTCTCCTATAGGTTTAAGATCTCGATTTTTACAAATAGCAGTTACAGCACAAAAATAATTTTGGATTTTTCAACAAGAGATGGCTGAATAAAGAAAGTGCTTGTGACCTAGCTATCTGAAGCAAAATTGTCTTCCCTAGAAATTTCCCTCTTTGTCTATCTTTTGCTTGATTCCAG